CTCTCTCTCTCTCTCTCTCTCTCTCTCTCTCTCTCTCTCTCTCTCTCTCTCTCTCTCTCTCTCTCTCTCTCTCTCTCTCTCTCTCCACTTATTCATTTAACCCATCGTGTTACTATATCATGAACACCATGAAAAGAATGCAAGAGCAGCAATTGCAACATCTCTTTAATTTTAAATCTATGAATAAAATGTATGAGCGACTGTTTTATCAAGAAAGAAGATACATCAATTTTATTAATCTCAATTTTGACGACAAAGCAAAGTTTGCAAAAGCCATATCGAGATGGCTCGTTATTTAATAGTCTTGGCTTCTTGTTTTATTGTTATCCAACTTTTCCATGTCATTTAATTATTTTCCTTCTCAAGGAGGCGGGTCGATATGTCTTACCGGGAAGTTTCTTACTACCGATCGATTAGTCGCACCATCCCAGTAGGGGTGGCTGTCCGACCGCGTAAATGCGCGGGCGCGTTCTTTTATATGAGCTGGTTTAAAATGGTGACTGTGGACAAGCTCAACCCGCCATTTTCTACATCCCATCAAGAAAATATCTTCCTTTTTTAACCAAATGAGGGACGAAGCACCTTTTCTATGCTCTCAAAGAAGATACTATAAAGTTTTCGAGCCGTTGTGTGGACTGGACATGTTTTGTTCCTATAGAAAATTTTTGTGTTGCGTCATCACGCATTTTCAATTATTGCTTATTACACATTACATTCGATTTTTCACAATTATCGGTTTTAATTATTTACTTTTTCGTATATGAATCGTGATCTGTGTTGACTCCGTAAGGAAGCTACGATCATATCAAAAGGAAGAAGAAGAAGAAGAAGAAATATAAAATTTATCTATCGCAATAGAACGTTCAAAAACGATTTATAGTCACGCTTCTGTTGAATTCGCCTAAAATCTGTTTTGAGATAATGCGCATGCATGCTCATATCTTTATAAATTAATATTTCATTAATTTTTTCGAAAGTTGGCAAAATGATAAACTTTTTTGTTCAATATAACGTGCTCTACTTGTCCATAAGAGATATGTCATCAATTATAAAACATTCTGTACAATTCTGGCTTTGACTACCTGTCATAAGTCCATTAATGATGGTATGTACTTGGTGCTAGAAGTAAAATTTATTATATATGTAAATTTAAAAAATAATTATTAGACACCAGCCATAGTTATAAAAAATACTATTTTTATATTTTTATAGCATAAAATACTTCAATCTATAAATGTCTATATAAAATACTTCAATCTATATAAACATCAATCTATATAAACGTTTATTTTCATTATAAATACAATTTCAAAATAATTTTTGATATTTAATTCATTAACTGTATTATTGAGAAAATAGTAATGATTAGTTCGCACTTTATTTATACCCAAAGAAAAATGTTTGACCTCTATATGAAACTAGTACGCAATTTGAAGATTTTTTTTCTTGCAGAAGAATTCTTCTATATATACATGTGTAATATATATATATATATATATATATATATATTATATATATTCTAATCTTATGTATAATATATGTAGCAATTTTATTAAAATAAACTTTGAACTATGCATAAAACATAATATAATTTTCACGCCTCTTTTTTTTAATTTATCAAAAAGCGACTATTTCTTATAAATAATTTACTAGCTATTACTGACACAATTAGTTAATTTTATTACGATTAAATGTATTAATCGAATCAAGTATTTTACACAGTTCATTTATTTCATAGATTCAGAAATATTAGCAGAGATGAGAACTATAAAATATTGTTTTATGTCATTATCACGAACAACATTGATATCAATAATAATAGTTAGATTTGTAATTAAAATATAATTAAATTCAAAAATATCTTGCAAAAAATTTAAATTTTTTACTGATTTAAATTTAATTTCAATTTGATTTACCGTTTTCGGATTGAGAGCGAAATAATACGTAAATAGTTGGGTCAAATGATTAAAATAATGGAAACTCATGATAGTATATCGTTTGTTTTTTAATAATACATGATTTATTAGATTTGTATATGCGAAATATTTTGCATATTTTGCAATATTGAATCAAGCACTACTGCAATACGTTTAATATAATTGATAGTAAAGAGTCAT